TTTTACCTATCATATTTATATGTCTCTCCCATTGAACTCCTATTACTTGGCTCCTCTTTACTTTGAACACTTGTCATTATCTGTTAGGACAGAGCAGAACAGATCCACAGGATTCCACAGTCTGGAAATCCTTACAGAAGAGACTGTCACATCTTTTCTCTTTGGAGAGGCTGCTGGGTTCTAACTGCTGACCAAGCAGCCAGGTAGCCTAACCCCTGTGCCAGCAGGGCTCCTTCTGACGACGGGCTCAGGTTTTATTGCTTTAGAATGCTGGCCAGCATACTTTTCAAGATAGGTATTGTTTCTCGGTCTCTAGACTTTTGGTTCCTAGATCACTATATGCGAGAGAAAATGAGCAATCTCCTCCCGTGTGATTTACAGCCTCTGAAAACCCACTTGATGATTAGCTATGGTTCCGACTCGACAGTACACAATAACAGTTCCGTGTATGCTCTGTGATTGTTTGCTGAATAGAATTCAACGTATTTCATCTAAAACTAGGCAATCTAGTGGCATAGTGTGTAACATTTTGGGCTGCTAACTGAAAGTTTAGCCACAATGTTTACTCTCTGTGGACAGTGTTTTGGTAGAGTTCCCTGATTAAAACAAGCTTGGAAGCAGGAGTGGCATCCACTTCCAAAATGGTTTGCATCTGGAAACTCTATGAACATGGAGAAAGACCAAAGTTATACAAGCGTGTAGGTCTTTCATTCATAAGGTCACTAGGAGTCGTCTATGACTCGATGGCACTTAACGACGACAACAACAACAACAACAACAACTGAAATGTTGGCAGTTCAAATTCCCCGGCCTCTCTGAGAGAGAACCATGACCAGGCTCCTCCCATAAAGGTTTCTAACCTTGGAAAGCTGATAGAAGGACACTGTCAGTCGGAAATGATGGCAGTAGGTTCATCTGGAGCAGAGCCCCAGAAGTCGGACCTCTGTGCTAGGAACCCCCTGCTCTATTCCTCACCGCGTCCTGATATCCAGGAGTACCACTCTTTTCCCACTTCAGCTTCCTGATTGGTTTTTCACTACTTAATGCTTGAGCTGCAGTTGTTGTAATGTGCTGTCAGAACCAATGGCTGTAAACTGCACACGAGGAGATTGCCCCTCTTTTCCCCAAGAAGCTGATAGTTTCAAACTGCCTGCCTTTGGGTTGGCAGCACAGCTCTTTACCACGCAGCCGCCAACACTCACAAGCCATCTGCTTACTCCACTTTCACTTACAGAGAGACAGTTTCCAATTACAACCCCACTTTCTACCTGCATAGTGTTTCATGGCCCCAGTGTCTGGAGCTCTGCTTCTGGGTCTTTTCCAGAGTTTGTTTCCCGAAGCACATGGCTGGGAACAAAAAGAGCGGTGGTTGCTGTCTGTGCTCAATTAGCTCTCTTCTCCGAGTCTGTTTTCAGTCTTCTGGGACTGTACTGAGAATGTTGGGAACACCCCAGGTGTCTTTACCTTGGTCAGCCAATCCTCGGAGAAGTATTTAGGGGCGGTGTCCTTTCCTTGTGGGCTGAAGGGGCGAGGAGGGGGGTTGTTGGTCATAATGAGCTCAGTCTTATCCTGATCATACTCTACTACTTTTAACACGAAGCTTCTGATTCTCTTGTTTCGGTGCAGGAATTTATGCAGGGCTGTAGGCTTCCAAGGCTCATAGAACTGGGCCTGAGCAGACACAAGATTTCCAGAGAGACGAAAGGATTCAGTCATGAGAGGGGCAACACCGCGGTGAGCTGATCTTTATGGGCTAGGGACAGAGGACACACTGCACCCGACTGTATGAAAAGTCTATCCAAAGAGTTCTGGAGCTCTGTCCCTTTCTCCCTCAGAGTACTCATTATAGAAAGATTGAGGGACTGAGAAAGGAAGCGGATGGGTTTTCATCAATCAGCACTGGATATCCAGTAAGCAACATGAACATGGCCTTGATTGTGGGTTTACTAATTCATAGTGAACAATTTCACATTTTTTCCCCACTACATCAGAGGTTGTGTTTTAGGTTTTGTTTTGCTGGCCTCTGTCTATCTCCCAACCTGAAGGCACTTTCCTACAGAATCAAAGCCTTCTTTTCAAATTCACAACCCCTGACAGGAACAGGGTATTCAATGAGCAAGGTAAATCCAGGCAATTTATTCACCATGGGTTAACAAGCACAAGTAAACCAATGCTTACCTGACTTGTTAGGATACCTGCCCCTAGTTTCCAGAACAAAAGGACCAAGATGACTTAATTCAGGAAAAGTGTAACTGTTGACAGGGAGGCAAACAGAAATGCCAGAAGTTCCTGTTTGGTCTAAACTGAGGCCTTCTCTGAGAAAGAGGAGAAAACTACTAGGGACCAATTTGCTTCTTCAAAGGAGGTCTCTGGGGTTCACAAAAGCCTAACCTGCAGCTTCACACACACACAGGCTCCTATACCTGCTCACATTCACATGCATCATAAGTATATCCTTAAAAGGGAAAGGCGTCACGTAGAGTAGTATATGCCTTAAGGGGGGTTACTGTTAATGTATATGCTGCTATGTTGTTATACGTCAGAACTGACTCACACCTAACTCTCCAGGGGGGTTCAGAAGCAGTAAATCACACAGGAAGTGACTGCCCCTCTATCTCTAGGAGAACAGCTGGTGGATTCAAACCAGGTTCTTCAGGGTTGGCAGTGCAGGGTTATCACTAGACCACCAGAGCTCCCTTCTTAAGGGGAAGGTGGAGAAAATTGCTCTTCTAGCCATAGGCAGAGGTGGGGTGGGGGGTGAGAGGGGGGAGAAAGGAGAGGTTGGAACGCCTCCTAATTATAAAGATGTTTTGCTCAACTTTTTTCAGGGTCCACTGCAGGGACCCCCATCTTCCCAGGTACCCCCCCTCCCTCCATCCCACCACTATTCCCAGTCCTGTTTCTGGAGCAGAGACACAACAGCTACTCCACCTCCCATCCCCAGAGTGCACCCAGTCTCAGAAACTGGGGACCCCTGGGGACAACCTGGGATGCCCTGGAATGGACCACCACAGCACTACTGAAACCTGCTTGGGGCAATGCTTCACCACCTACCAAATTTGGATGGGCAGAGTAGTACTGAAGCTTCTCTAGAGCAAATACGGATGGGATCACTTCAGCTTCATAAACATCCTAGGCAAAAATTGCAATTAGTGGCTTCAAGTTCATGCAGCGTAAACAGCACCTTACCTCGCTGACAAATGTTCCCTGGCTTAGTGCAGTGAGCACACTGGGTGTCCTGTTTTGCATGCTGGGTTTCTGAATTGAGGACCACAGCAAGGACTGAGTACTGAGGTATACTCCCAAGGAAGTGTGTAAAAGGAAGCCGAAATGCCAGGGGTGTGTGTGTGTGTGTGTGTGTGTAGTAGACAAGGCAGCATCAAAGCACAGGCTGGGGAAGATCACTCCAATAGCTGGCACCCCTTTGTGTCTTTTCTATTGTTTCAGCAGTGACAGGTTAAAAGTCAACATAGATGGGCCCTTTAATGAGAAAGGCAATAGCCTAAGGGCTGTGAGTGGAAGATTGCTTTTGGGGCCACCTGGGCGGGGGGGGGGGGGGGAAACAATACACAACAGTCCATTTTGATCTTTGGACAGCTCTGTAATATATGGTCTTTTGGGAAATGTTTTGGTCTACTATGTGCATTTTGATTCTTGGTGGATGTTTGGACGGTCATGTCTGGAGTCAGAGGCATTGAGGCTCTTCCATCTCCCTCCTGTTGCCCCTCAGGGCTGTGACCTGGCCCCTAGCTCAGCCCCTAGCTCAGCTCTCACTAGGTTATGGTGAAGCCAAAGAGTGTGAACACAAGGAGATCAAAGCTCAGGGTCACCTTGTTTGGCGTTGGCATGATCAGAAATCAGAAAAGAGGACGGTCAAACATCCTGCTTGTCTTTGGATCATCATTTCCAAAGATTGCCCTGCCCCCAGGGAGGTGGTCTGGTGGTCTGAATGCCAAAATGGGGTGCGAAGGACAGGATGCATGCAGTGAAAAGTGGGCAAAGCAGGGTGAATGGAGAAGGGCGTGGTAAAAACAAGACAGCACATGAGCTCGAGTAAGTGGTTTAGTTCCAGAGGGACAATGTCATGAATTGGCGACCTTGGGGCTTTGGGGAGCACCTGGAGGTACAGTAGCAGAGCCCTCCCAATACCCCCCTTTGGGGACGATAGATGAAATATGGAGCCTGCCTAAAAGTGAGATATTCGACTCTTAAGTACCTGAGGTCTCTTCATTAGAAACAAAAATAGGTTATGAAAATCCTTTTTCACACATAAAACTTGTATGATTCCTTCCAGTAGAATCATCAGCATTTAGGACAAATTTTACTTGGGGAAAATGTTTAAAACATTTTTCTTTAAGTAATTTTATAAGGGAGAGAATTTAGGAAAAATATATTTTTCACCCCTGAATTTTCCTGTAGTATTGCATCTCTGTTCCAAATGAGTCTCCCGCAAGACTCCCAAATAAGACAGTGTTCTTTTAGTCTGTTGAATTACATGATGTAACTCTAATAAGAGTTGACCCAGAAAACCTACATGAATATTAAAACTTTAGGAGAGTAACAAAGGTGCCCAAAAGAGCTTGGATGCAAGAGGTGGTGGCAAAGCCTAGGTGAGCTGGGACCAACACTGTGTCCTACGGCGAGTACATGGTTCTTGTATTTTGTGCTTTGATTTGTTGCTGCTGTGTCACTCACTGTTTTTTCTGTGTGTTTCTATTGTCTCGTCACAAAGTTAGATACATTAACCTTGATCTTGAGATAAACCTTAACCTCCGTTTTGCTTTCCAGTAGGAAATCTGCAAAACTCTGCCCATGAAATACTCTATGCATCTCCAAAGCAATGCTAACACTTGCCAGAGCTCCTCCTCACCTCATCATCACAGAGTGTTATCTTTTTCTCACTTTTAGCGGATTTCACTCCTGTCATTTTTGATCTGCCATCAGAAACTCTGAAAAAGAGGTAGATTAGCCAGCTGCGTCTTATAAGTGCTCGCTAATTGAATGACATAGTTATTCTGCACTGTCCAGTCAGAACACACTCGTAGCTGACCTTCCATCAGGCTTTCAGAGGCTGTAAATCTCACAGGAGGAGATGGCCTTATTTCTTCTGGGGAGCTGCTGGTGGATTTGAACCTCACACATTTACGTTAGCAGTGCAGCTCATTAATACTAGGCCATCAGATCTCCCTAAATTGGATACACAAAGTTATTAAAGATTAGGTTGCATCCAATCTGCATGATGGGAGAAAACAAAACCTCAGTTCCACACAGAGACTTTTGGGAGACATGATACCTGGTGAATTTGGAGATATGAATTAGTTTCTCCTAACACATGACTTTCAAATCACCCAACAAACTCTCTAGTGGATTGCTTAAGGAAATACTTTCAAGCAGCAAAGGCCCCTTAAAATCTTTAAAGAAGGATCACCTTCTGCTTTGATTACTTATCTATCTATGCTTCCTAAATATGGATATGACCCGGCCTTTACCAGTCATTAGCACCAGCTTTCTCTGGGAGAGTTCTGGTGACATGTGAGCTGGGCCACTTATTAAAAAGCCCGAGGTTCAAATCCACAACACACTCTGCAGGAGACAAAGAAAGCAATCTCATTCTGCCAAAACCCGCAGCCTCGGAAACATGATGGAGAACTGCAATGTGAACCTACTAACAATACTGGATTTTTGTAAGAGGTCTGGGTTTTCTTAATGTTATGTTGTTTCCATGGAGGAGGAACACTGGTGGCACAGTGGCTGGACTACTGTGGAAAGGTGAGCACGCCGAAGCCACCGGCTGTTCACAGAAGAAAGGTACACAATGTTCTTTCATAGATTTATGGTCTTAGAGCCACGAGGGGCTGTTCTACTCTATCCTACTGCGTCAACATGAGTCGGGATCAACTCTGTGGCCACAAGCTTGGCTCTTTTAGGGTTCTCCAGAACATTCTGGGTTGGGGTGTGTATGTGTGTGTGTGTGTGTGTGTGTGTGTGCATCACATGGTTAAGTTAGCTTCTAACCAAAAGGTTTGAATCCTCTCAGCAGCTTTGAAGGAGAGAGGCCTAAGAAAGCCCTAGCAAACTGCTCCTGTAAAGGTTACAGCCTAAATAACCCCCCACCCCAGGCAGTTCTTCTCTTTCATATGGGGCTGCCCTGAGGCGGAAATCACGCAACTACCCCTAGCAACAGCTGTCTGTGAGAAGGAACGAGTTAGGAGGACGTCACAAGTACTTTGTCATGTACGAGCTTACACTACTACTGGCTCTCTTCTCTTTCTGTGGTCTTGGCCGTCAAGTAGCAACGGACACAGAGCCTACAAACTGCATGAGAGTTAACTGTCCATTTTCTCCCTCAGGGCAGCAGGTAGATTCAAACAGCCTGCCTTTGGGTTGGCAGAGCAACTCCTTACTCTCTAGACCACCAGAGCGCTCTTCCTAGAAGTTGTTGGTAGATGTTGTCAAGTGTGACCCATAGTGACCCCGTGAACAACAGACCTGAAACTGGTCTTATCCTGTGCCCTCACACTTCCTGACACACTAGATCCCACTGTGGCAGCCACTTTGTCAATCTACCTGGTTTAGGGTTTTTATCCACTCCGCTGATCCTCCACCTTTCCAAACATCACATCCCTCTCCAAAACATAGCCCCTGTTAGCAACATGCCTGAATTTAAGTTTTTAATTCTTGGAACTAGAATATTGAAAATCATCTCAGCGGCAAACATTCTGCTTGGCTCTTCCACTTAATTAATTTCCCATTTCTATCCAGATACCAATATTCTTTGGAGAAAAAAAGAAAAGTCACAATATTTAACAATAAAGCATTTTCAATTCATTCATTGATTCTCATTAAATCTAGTGAATGATGTTCATTAGTAAGACTGGATCAATGACTAAACAAATAGCCTGTTTCCTACCTAGAGAGAATTTAATTTTGAAAGTTAAACTGGTAATAAAATTTGATTCTGCAACTACTCAAATGAGACTTCTTTTTTAGAAAAAAAAAAAGAGTGGCAGAGTAAGGACAAAAATAAAACTGAAATAACAATCTATGAGGGTAGTCAGGCCTGGTTTAAATTGTTGGGGTTTTTTTGTTTGTTTTTTTGTAAAACATTCTTCTAGGTGGTATAGCACTGGTCTGTGCATTGCTGTACAGAGGTAACTCGTGGTTGCTGTGATGCTGAACACTGTGACATTGATGTGCCAAATGTGATAATGGTTACCCATGGTGGACAGTGTTTGGTGGAGCTTCCCGATTAAAACAAGCTTGGAAGCAGCAGTGGCATCCACTTCCGAAATGGTTTGCCTCGCCTTCCCTAACCTGAGCCGATCTCACTGACTCCAACACACCCACTCCCGTTGCCCCAGTTACTATACCAATCCATCTCATCCGGAGTCTTCCTCCCCTGTGCTGTCCCTCCATCCTTCCCAGCATGATTTCCTTCTCCAGGTACCAGTCCCTCCTGGCCACATGCCCAAAGTATGTGAGATGGAGCTTCAAAATCCTAGCCTCCAGGAAGAAACTTGGTTTTACTCTCTCCAAGACAGACCTATTTGTTTTCTCAGTGATCCATGGTATGTCTACTTCAGCACCACAACTCAAAGGCATCAATTATTTTTCTGTCATCTTAAGGCATTGTCCAGCTCTCTGATGCATAGCAAGTAATTTTAAGGACCATGGCCTAGATTAAATGCACCTTTGTCTCTAAACGGACATCGTTGCTCTTCAGCACTTTGGAGAGGTCACTAACAGCATATTTTCCCACTACAATTTGTCTTTTGATTTCCTGACTGCTGGTACTAAGAGTGTTGATTGTGGAGGCGAACTAGCTGTGACTGTTAACAACCTCAATCTCTTCTCATATCTATATCTACTTCTTTATCTGGCTTGGTAGCAAGAAGGTGCGTTGCAATCCCAAATGCCTACAGTTTGAGGCCGTCAGCTGCTCCCAGGAGAAGGATGTGTCCTGTTAACTATTGTTTAATAATCATATGATCTTGATTGTGGCACTTTTACAAATAGTGGTTGACGTCTAAGAGAGCAGAGAATCTCACATGCTGTCTTTGAGGGCAAGGTGAGGCACGTGCAATGTGATCCCCACCAACTATAATCACTTGGACAGTCTGATGCTGCTTTCTCATCAAAGCCACCCTAGTGACATCAAACACAGACCAAGAGCTGAGGGTTAACAGTCAATCAAAACATTCAATGAGTTTACTTCATGACTTGTCACTGTTCAAAGTACCATCGGCTAC